CTTTCATAGAGTGCCTTTTAAATCATATTGTATTTTCTTTCACTGTCTAAAAGCTTTTTAATTTGAGGTAATCCCAATTATTTATTTTTGCTTTTATGTCTCTAGCCATAGGGTTCTTATCACCAAAAATCTTCATCATTGATATCATAGGGTATATCCCCAATGTGTTCTTCAGTATATTTTATTGTTGTAGGTCTCATATCTAAATCTTTAAACCATTTAGATTTTATTTTTGTGAATGAGATTAGGGAGTGATCCAATTTCAAGCTTTTGTGTGTGGCTTTCCAGTTTTCCAAACACCATTATTAAAGAGACTATCTTTTCCCCATTGTATGATCATAGCTCTTTTATCATAAATTAGGTACTAGTTTGTATATGGATTTCTGGACTTTCAATTCCATTTACTGATTCATTTATTTATTTGTGTGCCAAATACTATATTTTTTAGTACTATTACTTTATAATATAGATAATATACCTCGGATTCTCTTCTCTATCCTCAGGTTTGCTTTTACAATTCAAGCCTTTTTTGTGGTTCCTTATACACTTCATATGTTTTGTTCAATTTTTATGAAACATAATTGCTGGTGTTTTGATGGATATTGTGTTAAATTTTAGGCAGAATAGTCATTTTAATTGATTCTCCCCATCCATGAACAAGAAATCTCTTTTCATCTCCTATGATGACCGAGATCTTCTAATACAGTTTTGTAGTTTTCATTGTATAAATTTTTCTACTCTTTAAGTCTTGATTATTTTTGATTCAGTTTTGCATAGAATTTCCTTCTTTTCCTTATCATTCATCATTTGTACATAAAAATACAACAGATATTTTTATGTTGATTTTACTACCTGTCACTTTGCTGTATTCATTTATTTTTCCAATAAATTTGGAGTCTTTACGATTTTCTGTATCTTTTTTTTTTTTAAATTTCAGAGAAGAGGCATTAAGGAGTCATGCCATAAGTTTATTTACAAACATATTTAGTATATTGAGTTCAACAGTTTGGCTTTTCAAAGAAATTGCACTTCTTAAAATGATCCTCTTCATATCTGTTTCATGGATGAACTAAAATGTCCTTATTTCTTAAGCAGCTGGTGTCTTAATATAAAGAAAGGTGCAGCAAACCCAGAACCGAAGTACACAGTCCTCATAAATAGTAACCGACACTTGTTTTCCACAGAAAATGGCAAATTCTTCCCTGGGCCCTCCTCATAGTGGCTCCTGCGGACCACAGAGGTCATGAATCCCTGGATGCTTTGTCCCGACATAGCGCAGTCTGGAGCTCTGCAAAAGACGCAGAGACCAAACTTGGGCGAAATGGCGGCGACCCAAGTAATAAGCTTTTTTTCTGTATCTTGTCCTGTGCAAATAGTGACAGTTCTACTTCTTCTATTCCAGACTGGATTTCCTTTATTTTCTGTTATCTGATTGCTCTATCCAACATCTTTAATATTAAACAGAGTGGTGACAGTGGGTATCCTTGTCTTACTCCTGATCTTTAAGGAAAGCTTTCAGTTTTTCACCATTAAATATTATATTGGTTGAAGGTTTGTGATACCTGATCTGTATTATGTAGAGGTAGGTTCCTTCTATTCTCTCCTTGTCTAGTTTTTGTCATAAATGGGTGCTAAACCTAATCAAATGCTTCCTCTGCATCTATTGACATTTTCAAATAATTTTTCTTTACTTTCTGGTAATGATTTCGTACACTGATTGACTTATGTGTATTAAACAATCTTACACTCCTGGGACAAATCCCAGTTGATCGTGGTGTATAAGCTTTATGATATATTAATTTATTTGGCTTGCTAGTACTCTTTTCAAGATTTTTGCATCAGTCTTCATCAGGGATATTGGTCTATAATTTTCTTCCCTTGTTGCTGTCCATATCTGGTTTTAGGTATTGTCGCCATAAAAAAATATTCTTCCAATAAAAAGTATCGGGGAGCATTCTCTCTTATTGTATTTTTAAGAAAACAATTTGAGTAGGATGAGCATTATTTATTTTTTTAATTTTTTTTTTAAAGATTTATTTATTTACTTATACAAGCACTGGGTGCAGTCAGAAGTGCAGAAGGGTGAGAGAATTCACCAGAGCCTGAGCGGAGAGCAGAACAGGCAGACTGACAAAATACACTCCTGAGGGGAGCAGTGGGTGTGGCAGGAGAGGTCTGCACGCCATGTGGAACCCTCACTGGTGGCTGGGGATTGAACCAGCACTGCAGAGGCTGCAGGCAGCTTCACAGCCCAGCACTCAACCACTGCGCCTGAGCATTATTTCTTGCTTAAAGTTTTTAAAGATTTTTTTTTTTAAATTTACTTCTGTAAGCACTGGGGGGACAATCAGAAGCAAGGGGGGTGAGAGAATTCACCAGAGCCAGAGCAGGGGACAGAACAGGCAGACTGACGAAATACACTGCTGAGGGGAGCAGCGAGCGCGGCAGGAGAGGTCTGTCGAGCCATGTGGGACTCTCACGGGTGGCCTGGGATCGAATCTGCGCTGCAGAGGCTGCAGGCAGCCTCGCAGCCCAGCGCTCAACTGCTGCACCACCAGGGAAGGCCCTTGCTTAAAGTTTTGATAAAATTCTTTTGTGAAGTCTCTGTTCCTGGGCTTTTGTTTTGGGGAATATTTTTTATTACTGTTTCATTTTCCATGCTTATGATCAGTTTATTCAAAACATCTGCTTCTTCCTGGGTTAGTTTTTGTAGATTACATTGATATAGAAAATTTCCTTGTTTCTTCAAATTATAGAACATAACAATAATACAATGAACACTGGTTCATTGTAATCTGATATGGTTCTTTTTATTTCTGTGCTGTCTGTTGTGATGTCTACTCTTTCATGTATGATTTTATTAATGGTTTCTTTTTTTTTAAATGTAGCTAGATGTTTATCAATTTCCCTGAAGATCTATTTCCCCCCTTTACTTCCACACTTTATTTCCTTCCTTCTACTAAATTTGGGTCTTGCTTTTTCCTCTTTTACAAATTGCTTTAGATTATTGGATATAATAAATATTGGATTATTTATTGGAGGCTTTTCTTGATTCTTATGTGGTCTGTATTACAATTATCTTTTCCCTTAACAGTGTTTTTGCTGCATCCCATTGATTATGGTACCTTGAACCATAATTTCCATTCATCTTAAGTACTTTTTAATGTTTTGATTTCTCTCTTATCAAATAGCTATGAAACAACCTGTTGTTTAGTCTCCATGTATTTATAATTTTTCCAGTTTTTTTTCAACTTAATAGATGATAGAGATAATGCTAGGTACAATTTTGATATTTGTTGTTTTATTGAAAATTGACTTTTGTTCCAACATATATGTTATTGAAAATGTTTCATGTGCATGTGCATTTGAAATATGTATGCAATTAGTTCTTGGGAGTATTATGTAGGTATCTATTAGCTCCACTTGGTTTTGCATCTCCATTAAGGCTATTGTTTTCTTATTTATTATTCATCTTGTTGATTTTTTCCATATAGTAAGTAGGGGTCCTTTTGTATTATTGGGTTGCTGTCAATCTCTTCAGTTCTGTTATTGTCTAATGTATCTCAGCTCTCCATCATTCAGTGCACATATATTTGTGTTACTTCTTCTTGTTGTGTTGGACCTCTAATCAAAATATAGTGCCTTTTTTTTTTCCCTATTACCTTTCTTATTTGGAAAGGAGCCAGTATTTTATCAGATATGACTGATAAAGCATAACTTTTTTTTTTTAAAAGATGTATTTCTTTATACAAAAACCAGGGTACAGGCCAGATGTGCAAGAGGGTGAGAGGATTCACCAGAGACAGAGTGGGAAACGGAACAGGCAGAGCAGCCGGTGAGACAGGAGAGGTCTGCTCACCATGTGGCTATCTCCATGGCCAGTGGGGATCGAACCAGCACTGCAGAGGCTGCTGACAGCTTCACAGCGCTGCACTCAACCGCCTGTGCCACCAGGGAGGCCCAGAAAAAGCATAACTCTTATCCTATGCTTGCATATCTCCAAATTCCTTTCTGGTTCAAAAGGGGGTATATGGAGGCTGGGGCTGGGAAGACTTATTTTGTGGGTCTTTTCCTTTATTTTTAACCCTCTTCCTAATCCCAAGTGACTATAGTTTTTCTGTGAAGTGGTAGGAATCATGATCTCCACTGCTCCAACAAATAGTAGAAGTACTATTCCTCCAGACAGTGCTTCTGTTGGTGTCTAGGCTATGACTGGCTCCTAAAGAACCTGGTGGAAGGTGCTGTACCTCTGACACTAGGGCAAGCTTAGCATCTCTCACTACAGCATTTGCTCTTTTCTACATTCTCAAAGAGGTTCACCTCTTTCATTTCCTATCACACACACTTCCACACAGTCATATTACATGCACCTTTCATTGGAAGTATTTCTCATCACTTCTGTGACCTCTCTGTAAATTCTTATGGAGGAACCAAAAAATGCAGCTGCCAGTAAGGGGTCATCAGTTCTGTTCCCAGGGTTCTGGTGGAGCTGTTTTTGCCGGGGTTGCTTCTCTTCAGCTTTTATATATACTATTCTTTTCAAACTCCACCCCCCAAATATACTTTCAACTACTTTTCTATTTTCTATTTCATCTCAGCCCCTTTCATCTCACCTCTTTCATAACCATTAATATATTTATTTTTTCAATGGAGTGAGAAAGATACAGAGAAATTCCACACAATTACCAAAGTTAAATATAATTTATTTAAATTATAACTAGGTTATCTATATATCTATATATCTAGAGTAAATTATATGACATGCTTTGTGTTGGTCACTTATATTATTAAATATATTTTTTATAAAACAAAGTGTTTTACAAATAGATTTAGAAAATGCTTATCATTATTACTTTCCCCTTAGAATATGTAACTAAAAATAATAATTCCTCTTAGCGATGATTTTGTTAGATTAACTGCTAACTAGTAAACATTATACCCATACACTTGTCCTATGTTTAAATACTTAAAAATTAAAAAGTCTATCTCATTTTATTTACCTCCAAGTCTTGCTCTGATGGAAATATCTGGTGTTGCTCTGGAATTCCATCTCCTGTCCTGTTTTAGTTCTTCTAATATATTTTTTTGCCTTTTTAGTGTTGCCTGAAATCCTGAGTCTGGTCTGGGAACTCGATGTTGAGGTTTCACATCACTGAAATCTACCAGGTTTGGTATGGTTCTGCCAAAACCAGGCTTTAAATCAGCATCACCGCCAGGACTCATAAACCCAGAACAGACATCACCTAAGGGCACATCATCTCGAAGTGGAAATAATGGGTAATGTGGCCCATATGGTGGGGGATAAGGATAGTGTAAATGATAGTCTGGTAGGTCTGAAGAGGGATAAGGGTGAAATTTAAGAAACACAGGGTTGCATTTCTTTTCAATTCTGCAATAGTTATGTCTATCTTCAACACCTTTCACAAAAGGCATGTTTATTTTTCTTAAGAGATTCCAGTAGTGTGGGTAATCTATATTCTCAACAGCCTTTTTCCCTGAACGGATGAATCTTTCAGAGATACTTATCTTTCCAGGAGTATACTGTGAATCCGAATCCATGGCTTTTCTTAGAATTCTCAGTTATTGTAAATTAAGTGCTTCTTATGACACTTTTTATTTTAAACTATAAAAACACAATTTTCCAGGGATTGAGCATTGGTTAATATAACTTAGAGAACAGAGTTATTGAATTGACTTTTAAAATGTTGATTTTTTTTTTAAGTCAATTTTTTTTTTCTCTTCTAGAGGAAGGTATAGTATGGCAAAGGAATAAGACAGACAAGACAAAACAGAACTGTTGTATCTTGGCAACGGTTAGAACTGTTAACACATTAGAGTACTTAGTATATACATCATAATTAAATTCTTAAGAAAAACAAAAATAGCTTCAGTGGCAAGATTTCCATTTTAGCTTTTTCCTCAATGCTCAGGAAAACTGCTCATTTTTTATCTACTTTTAGGTTTTGCCATATGTTAATATTTTATAGGTAAAAGATACCAAAGTTTATAAATAAAATAATCAGTGGCAACATATTTTATAAAAGTATATACTTGACTACAATTAAGAATTTACTTTACAGATATAATTATAAAACATTAGTACTTATTTTATTAAGGTTAAATCATTATATCTAATATTTTATGACAGTAATTTACAATTTATAGTCAAAAGTTCATCTTTTTCATGCCCTAAATTATTCTTACTTCTTGCTACCATGATGTCTAGAGTAAAAGCAAAGATGGTTTTAAGCTCATTACTGAAAATAATAGGATGTCATTTATTTGTTCACATGCAAAATAGATATCAATATTCTATTCATTTTAAAACATTTCAATAATTTCATCTTGCATGAAACTATTACAGGAATTTCAAATACAGTCTACACTTAGGGTTGTTGGTAGGTTACTGGAAACTCCATTATAAGTGACATGACTTAAAACAGGTGTGGTTGAGATATTTTATTCTTACCAATGTTATATGGAAATAATGTCAAACTAAACTTTGAGGTACTGATATATTAGAATTTAGGTACAAAAGCCCCTATCATCCTTACTGCAGCAAAAAATGCAAATATGAATAAGAGATGTACTTTCTGATTTTCATCATTAGAATCATACCACATGTTAAATTAAGAGTCCAAAATCACATCCCATTCTCAGGTGGACTATTAGAAATTTCCACTGAAAATAAAGACAGGTGGGATTGATGAACTGAAGTAAATTCTTGATGACAGAAAACAAAGATTACAAGATTTAGCATAATCTAAACAGTCCCTTCCATCTTTTTTTTTTTTTTTAACTTTTTAGAGAAATCATTTATTCAGCAGTTCAAATAGTAGCCAACTCAAAATTCTCAGTTCTGATTTTATGTTTGGGTGTCTCTGAAACAACCGACAGTACTTTAGGTTTCTCTCATTTTTTGAAAATCAAGATCAATCTTGACTTATCGTAAACATTGTTAAAATGTTTCACAATAAGCATACCCCTTTGGGCATACTTATATTGGAAGAGAAATTTGACAGATACTGCCAACGTTTCAATTTTTAAAAATTAGACTTAGCATTTCTACTTTGTCGAAAAACCTGCACATGCCCTAGAGAAATGTATACGGTGTTCACCGAAGCATTTTTTTGGAATAGCAATAGGAAAGTCTGAATGACCAACAGTAATTATAAAATACATTATGGAGTATTATACAATGGGATGCCACTTATGTACCTTCCATCTTTTATCCCTGAGAAGTCTACAATCAAATATTCAGTTGGTAAAAAGCATATAGTGCAGGTTTGTTTACAAAAAAAAAAAAAGAGGACTTTTAGCAGGATATATGTCCAGACAAAGATAGTGACTGATTTCACTCTATTCAGTAAAATATCTGTTTATTAAATGGGCACAAGGTAACTGCAAGATCTTAACCAAAAAACTGGTTGGATCCAAGTTATTGAGGCCTTTGTTTACTCAAATATGCTTGAACTGGCTAAATATAATTTAGAACTTTATACAGACTAGAAAAAAATTCAAAAGGAATAAATTGTACTGTGTAGTCAACACAATATTAATAGACAACTTATGGAATATGCAGAAGTTTCTTCAATTTGTTATTAATAACCAAGTTCTTAGAATATTTATATAGTCCTTAAGAAACGTTTCCATTCTGATCCTAAGTCAAGAATCAGCCCCTTTTCTTCTCTGCTGGGTTATTATATATGTCAGGGTCTATTCTAGGAATTAAGATTAAAATAGTAGCAAAACAGGTAAGATCTTGGCTTTGAAAAGCTAAGCACAAAGCACATAAATCAGGTCAAACGTTAAGAGAGCACAGAGTTCAATCTGTGTTGCAACCATCATACACCTAAAGGCATTGCATTTTGAGTTAAACAATCAAATAAGTGGGGTGGTTGATTAGGTGGTTAGGCTGTCAGTTTGAATTCCCTTAATTGGAGTTTGGTTAACCCAGTGAGAGCTTTTAGTCAATTCAGTGATACTCATTTCTTCCTATTAGGATTATCTTCAGTTGTTTAAATTCTTTCTATTGAAACACTGCACTAGATTTATTTCTAGCACAGCTCTGCTACATTTAAGTAAAATTTTCCAGCTGCAGAAAAGACAAGATTCTCTTTCAAGTTCATTGTGTAAATGCCCTCTTAGGCTGATAGCTGGTTTTAGGTTTCTGAATTTGCATGATCTTTCAGGTTGAGTGCTGCAGGAAAGTCAGTATTAGCTAAGGTAATTTTGTTAGTGTGACCAAGCACATGCATGGATCCCCAAACTTGCATTCTCTGAAGGAATCTGGCTATGCATATGCATAAAGGCAAAGCAGACATTTAGTGTGAGAGAACTTTAACAGAGTTAGTGGGGAGGAGGAGGTGGGGAGGTTAGTGGGGAGAAACGTAAGGTTGGCCAGACACCGGGCCTCATAGGCTGAATGGCTTGCCACAAGTCTAAGGCACCTTCTCTTGAAACCATAGAAAAAGTGTTCTGAAGCAGGGCCTCAAAAATGGGACAAAAGGTGATTCCCACGTCAAGTTAACTAACAGCTGCCATTGCCAGCCTCCCCATACGTCTCTCACCCAAGTTTCTCTTCTAAGTGTCTCTTCTAAGAGTCTCTCCCATGTCTCACCACCAAGCCGGGTGGCTTCTTCCATATTTCCTTACCAATAGAACCAGGGTACAAAGTGGGCCACAGGACAAGAGAAATACCTTTTTTCCCCTATCTTCCATATTATTATTTTTTTTTTTTTAAGATTTATTTATACAAGAACCAGGGGATGCACGGGAGGGTGAGAGGAATCACCAGAGACAGAGCGGGGAACAAACCAGGCAGACTGACAAAATACACTGCTGAGGGAAGCAGCGGGTGGACAGAAGTCTGAAGAGCCATGTGGGACCCTCGCTGGCAGGTAGGGAACAAACCGGGGCTGCAGAGGTGCGGTGCTCGTCAGGGCAGGCCCCATATTATTTTTTTAAAGATTTATTTATGAATACAAGAACTGGGGTACAGTTCAGAGGTGTGGGAGGTGAGAGGATTCACCAGAGACAGAGTGGGGAACAGTACAGGCAGATTAACCAAAGTACACTGCTGAGGGAAGCAATGGGCCAGTCAGGAGAGGTCTGCTGTGCCATGTGGCTTGCTCCCTGGCTGGCTGCAGAGGCCGCTGACAGCTTCATATGTTGCTCATAGGTTGCACTTAATCCCTTGCGCCACCAGGGAGGCCCCCTATCTTTCACATTATTTCGCTTTAAGTGGCCACCCAGCTCAGGCATCATTAAGCGAGGCTGGGAACATGTTACCTCCCCCTTTTATGGCCATATGTCCTTAACGACTTCATCTGTTCTTTCCAGCAAGTTTCTTCCTAGGTTAAGGGCTCAACTTTCATTCCCATTTAGTTTATGTTCCATTTACCTCCCAATTACGTTCAATACATAAGTACTAGTATCTGATATTCTAGATCCAAACAATTCTCTGAGGACTGTACTTGTCTGAAATCACTCACTTCCCACGACCTAAGTCTCAGGTGGGCCCTACCGAGGGGCTCCTCCCACCAAAGTGCTGATGAAAAGCCTTTCCTGTGCCCACGACCGCACTCACAACGGACAGGCGCGGGCCGTGGACGGCGGTTCTCCCAGGTGCGGAATGTTGGCCGTATCGCTAATCTTCCCTGCGCGTCCGCGAAGCACGACACCCGCCCTCCCCCCTCTCCCAGCGCCCGGGGAGGCCCCTCCGGCGGGTGGGCTCGGGCGGGCGCGGCCGGTCTCCCCCGCCCGGCCGAGCGGCGGCCTTTCCGCCGGGCTTCCGGGTCGCTGCGGCCGACTTCCGGGGGGCGCGCGCCGCCTAACGACCTTCCGAGCCGACGGTCGGCGGGTGGCGGCGGCGTGCGAATGGAGGCCACGGCCCCCGGCCGGGCTCGGCGGGGCTGGCGGCGGGCCCCGGCCGTGGGCTCCCGGCTCTGCCGGGCCGCGGGCGTCCTCCTTCTCTCCGCCTTGGTCGTGCGGGCGCACCTGCCAGGTGAGGCCCCGGCGCCCAGAATGGCTTTCTGTGTCACGTGCCTTCGCCGGGCTGAAGCGCCGTCCTCACGGCTCCCTGCCTGGAGAGGTTGATTTTTTGTAGAAGCCACACAGAGGAACCGAAACTTCCATGGGGAAGCAAGTGACGGGTGAATTGAATAAACGTATAGGCGGAAGATACCGAGACACCCGAGTTCAAGTTACACGGTTAAATTGGTGGTTAATAAACTCCCGGAATTAGCCGGCGGGTCATTGGCCCGCTTTCCGTTTTAGAGTGTGAGCTCCAATGGGCTGTGCTCGCTAGCTATTTCAAAAGGAGTGGGCGTCCCGCTGAGCTGTGGTTATCCGTTGTCATGGAGCGCCTCCTGTTGGTGCTAGCTTTGAGACACAGGGAAGGTTGGGATTTGTAAGTGTTGCCGAATCCAATTGTTTCCTTCCGTGTGTCTAGAGAAACAAAAATGTTTTCCCATCCTGTTTTCAAGCTATATTTAAGATACTGATGAAGAGTGAGAGTTTAAACTGTTGTGATTTAACTGGTTTTGGCTGCATTTTTTTTTTTGACTTTAAATGTTAGACTCAAAATGAAAATAAATTACCTCCGAGGATTGAACAATAGAAAGCACACAAAAGATTTGTTTAAAATACTATTTTTTTTTTATAGAGGCATGTTTTTTAATTTATTTATTTGTTTGTTTGTTTTGTTTATACAAGCACTGGGTACAGTCAGAAGCACGGGAGGGTGAGAGAATTCACCAGAGCCAGAGCGGGGAGCTGAGCAGGCAGAAGAACCGAAGTACACTGCTGAGGGGAGCAGCGGGCGGCAGGAGAGGTCTGCGCGCCATGTGGGACCCTCCTCTGGTGGCGGGGGAGCAGCCGGGGATCGAACCGGTGCCGCATAGGCTGCGGGCAGCTTTGCAACCCAGCGCTCAACTGCTGCGCCACCGGGGAGGCCCTAAAATACTTTTTTTTTTTTTTTTTTTTT